GCCAATGACAATAGCACCAAACCGTTTCGGTTTCTTATACCGTAAACAAAACGGAACAGTACTTAATGCCAAGAGGGTAAAGGTAAATTACATAATTGATACACATCAAAAGACTAAATTACAGTAAATAAAATATCATTCGTAATGAAAATCATCATTTCACTACCCCGACGATTATGGTTAAATTAAACATTTCTTTTTACCATCTATAGGTACTTTTAATTTATCTCCTATCGACGTGGCTCTACGAATTGTCCGGTGGTCTTATACAATTTCAACTCCTCACATTTCTAACGATTCTAACCTAAAATTGTTTTGATCAGTACACCCTTCGTATATATTAGGGGATATAATTTCTGTTACACTGTTGTGTACATCACTTGTTTGGAGAACAAGTTTTTTCCTATTCCTATTTACATCCTATGTTAACTAATAATGTAAATGTCGTTCAGGATTTCTTTTTTTTATTTTATAACTTTATTTTAACTCACCTTTGAGTAATTCGTAGTAAGTAAATATTTCTCTCGCTTATCATTTTTTATATATTTATATATAAAATTTTCTTTTTCGTTCAACTAGACATTTGCACTTGTTCTTTGCGACTGTCGAGTAAGTAACCGATCGGTCCGACGCGACGTTTGAATGTAGAATATAAAAAACGTTTCCACCTACTGAACTGTACAAGAAAAACGAATTTACCTTGCCGTCTCGCTCAACCGAGCACATGTCACCCTTAGTATCACAAGTATTTCTTTACACCATCCCTTCACCTATATTACCGGCCGGTATGAGATTGCGAACTCGATGTCGCCGTATCGCTTAGATCTTTGTGTGGCGAAATGTCGAATCAGCAATAAAAAAAAGTGTATAGTTTGATGGGAAAAAATGAGCGACAAAAATACCTTGAGGAAAATTAGAGTCACTTTTTGTAAAATGTACAATACAATATTAATTCTGAATTGCGCGAAAAGCAAGAGCGAAGTGTAAAATATTTAATATCGAGTCGTGTCGACCAAAAAGCTATAAGTTTAAAGTACATTCCGTTTGTACTGGGTTCAGCAAAAATATTTCAAACGTCTACTACAACCCTCCCGTTCCTAAAAAAAAAGCTGAAAAATTCTATTTAACTTAAGCACCATTTTAGTCACATTATTGCCGTTAAGCTCACTTTTTATCATTCCGTTTGAACTAAAATGTACTATCCAATTTTATTATTCCATTTTAACATATTTTGTCTCATATATTAACCACTACCATCCTAAACTGGACCTATAACACAAATGTTTCAGTAGGTAATGGTTTGCATTTTTAAATGACTGACAAAAAACATTAAGGTGGCCTATGTCATTAAATATATGACTAAATTAGAGGTCGAGAAACGCTTTTTTTTGTCGGGATTTGCTTACCCGTTTTTCTGATTTTGGCAGAGATACAATTACCGTTTGGGAGGCAAAGGCCGGAATGTATATCTGACTTAAACGGTTTTCTACATCTCCCCCAGCTCGGATTATTATAGAACGTTAAATTAAAATATTCCACGTTAAATGCGAAATTAAACAACAAACCGTTTATCTTAATATACTCTTTTTAAAACTTTCTTTGGTTATCTACTCGCGTGCATTATACACCAACGGGAAACGGCGAGGGAAGAAGATTAAAAAACCAAACGAGCCATTCCACGGTGTAAGTTGAGCCCCACAAGTGTATCAAATGGATACTTGGAAGTACTTTTTTTTAATAATATTGAATCAATTTATTTACATTTAGTCTGATTTCATGCAAAACGACTCTTTCGCCTCACCCGACATTAATACATTAATAGATTAAGTAGAATGCTGCGGTACGACATTTGCTGTATTACAAACTATTGTTTGTTTGTTTATTTATATCTGATCAAATATATACGAAACCAATCTTATTCGAATAAATAAGTGAGACTTCTAGGAAAAATAGGTATTTTCAATAGGAATCGACAAAATTGAAATTTAGCTGTTTCTATAAACGCTTTATTTTTTTTTAATAAAAGCCATATGATTCATGTCCATACAGCATCATCACCTTCGGATAAAAAACGATTTCATTATCATAGAACCCGTAGAAAACGTCAAGTATTATATAAAATGTTAATATTTGTTTTTATTATTATCATACATTACTTCCATGTGTTATAGAACTTTAAGTCTAAAATAATAACGAAGAAATATGGCCGTACCATCTTGTATCCCCTAATGTACACAATTCCGCATGAAAAAAAGCTTTAAAGTAGGCTATAAAAATTCAATATGTTTTTAGATGAACGTATAGCGTTTCCTCTCGTGATACAATATTCTGATATAATATTAAAATATTATACAGTGAAAGTATGCCGAATAAAAAATGTCAAGGAGTAGGTAACAACTTTTGCTATAATATTATTAAAACGTCCAAAAATTATTATAGCCATAAATTTGCACGTTCTTCGATGTAATTTTCATCCAATACATGCCAATACATTATTTAGCTTTTGTGTTTTTCTTAGATTTTAAAAAGGAGTGACCTGGTTTTTTTCCTTCACCATCAACATATTAATATGTTTAACTTTTAGTCTCAAAAACACTATTTCAGACCTACTATAATATATTGCTGTAGTAAGCGTTTTAGAACAAAAGGGACATTTGCTAATCAATTTAATCGAGCATAGTTGGCGGAATATAATATATTTTCAAACTTTAGTCCATTTACGAGTAGGTAACGCTTTAAAAGAGTACGCGTATATGAGAGGGATACACGTCAGTTAGTTTAACGTTATAATATACGCACACGGGTCACATAACTTGAGAAGTACCTAAAATAAATGTAAATTCTTGTTGAGCTGGAACGTGGCTTTAAAGTTTTAGGAAACTGTCAAATGCCAACGAGAAGATATGCAATAGTTCAATAAACGTAGAAAGCAGCTCTAAGATATCCAGCTATATTTTTAAATACCTTCTTGGTTGAGAACAACTGTATACTTTCCTTTGAGCCAGGGGCTGGCCAAAACATAAACTGTTTTTACACAGTAATTGCGATTTGGCTTTAAGTTCACAATGCGGTTAAAACCGGAAAAACCTTACAGTTTTGAAGTTTGACAAAAATCCACCGAAAAACAGCTACGACAAGTGCTTTCCATGGGCCCCATCGCTGTAAAGTGCCTAAACGGTTGTTAGTGTTAGGTTTGTTAAGGTAAGTACTAAAAAAAAACAACAAAAAGGTGAACGCGTTCGCTGGAACTATATTCCATCCGTTTTGCTTAAATTTCAATTTCAATTTAACTATCAAATGTCCATCGAGAATATTATTATGGAAAGCAATGAGGACTCTTGTCTTGAAGTCAGTCTATTGCATAACACACGTTCTTGTCGGGATAAGGTTATGACAATTTAGGTATGCCATAATACAGACAGGTATGGCGATACGCGTATTGTGTAGGACTATTCAAATATTTAACCCCTCCGTCTGTCATCTTTAGACGTCTATAATGTAATCTATACATTATGGAAACGGAAACTGCATAAGCAACCCATATATTGTAGGACCATCGTTAGTTAGCTGCTATCTGAAAGCGGGCGGTGACGGCTCCAGATGAACCGCCTTAATCTATACATAATAAGACGTCATATATTATGTTATTATGCTTTATAACGCATATATTACCAGAACGGATATAATCCTAACACAATGACCGTCAAAAACGAATTGAAGTGCGAATAGTTCAAAATCATTTGTTTCGATCTCATCTGAAAGCGCCTCATGATAACGAATTCGGCGCCGGTTTATCTGTTGTCGGCTGTTATGACAATATATTACTATTCTTAATGATGCCTTTCATACGTACTATAACCGCCGCATTAGTTGAATAATAGTTCTACCGATGTCACGGCGGAGCTTTTTCTATATTCCATGACAATGAAATGGCATATATAGTAATGACTGTCGTTAGAGAATGATAACATGTCATGAATTTTCAGTAAAATCTTATAATTCGTTTAGGAAAAAATGTTGTTTTTTTTCAATCTCATGTCCCGAGCTTTGGAAATGGACAACGCCAACGGAAGAAACTTGTTCTAGTAGTTCTCGAATAAAATAAAAAAAACTATAAAACAATATCGTACACGAGCTGTTATGACACCAAGTTTGGGCGGATAGTAACAGCGTCGTCGTGTGTGTGCTGTCCGCCCTTTTTGATGACAAATATACAATAATATTATAAGAGTGCCCGCACGGACTGCATTGAGAAATAAAGGCGTTTTACGACAGACTTCTGGCGCCCGGCGAACAAAAACTCTTATCGATTTCCCACAACGACCCGAGTGCCCTGGCGATTGCTTTTTAAATGTCCGGTTCTATTCTCGACCGCACATTAAACATAATGGTGTTCTCGGAAAGCGAAATAATATGTTTTTAAACCGAAAAATCTCGAAAACGTATACATTACGGGACACGTGTAGCGACCAAATGTAGATATTCTATTTCTCCAGGGTAGGTATGCGGTGAGCCTTCACTATGACGCCTCCTGGGAACGTCGAGCACTTTATGCACGGTGTCACTCTCGGTTGACTAAAAGTAAACCTGACGTGAGAAAATAATGAATTGCTCAGGCGAAATCCGAGACCTTGTGCGCCAAATATAAATGCAAATGCTTGTTTAATGTGATGTGCCATAAATGTCGAGTTAGGTTTGTCTTGTCGTGGTCAAAATAGCTGGTAAAATAATTCATAAAATAAAAAACGGTAAGTTTAATACGACTATAATGTTTTAATCCATCGACACTTTGGGTTAACTAATTAACTCTGCGGCGATCGTCGCTGACTTACCGCTACACAATCTTGTTGAAGTTTGTTATGCCACCCCTAAAGTTAAGATATTTACATTGCACAACATTTCCGCATTTGTGATTTGATAAGGTTTTCTCCATCAGTCGCCGTACAATATCCGATCTATAAAACATAAATGTAATGATTTTTTTTTTTTTTTTGTTGCAGGTCAACATCAGTAACGCCTGGCTTTATCCGCAAAATGGTTTCATGGTCTTCTATCGTCATTTCAGAGACAAGGTTACTTGGTTCGAGGCCGATGCCGTATGTCAGTTCCACCACGCTCAGTTGGCTACCAGTAAGTAGTATTTTTATTTTGTTTGACGAATAATTCATTATTAAAACCGGAACCGAATGTAGGTAGATTTTTCGATGCATAAGCAATAACGACTCGAAGAAAGCATTACGGTTAAATTTCAATTAAGCATAATTGGGTTTTAACTTTTGTGTAAACGCAAATGATCATTGCTCTCACTCTTATAATACAAAGGCAAACGCGTTTAATGGGTTTGGCTTTCAATGATAAATTCGGATTTCTAATTGCAAATTATACAAGTCGACCGTTCACTGCACTTGACCGTTTCATGGCTAGGGTAAGCTTATTCTATTCAGAACAAAATAATGCAAATGGTCTGGTAACGACCTTGTAAAAAGAACTACACTGACAGGCGAGTTGTCAATTTTATTATTAAACGCAACAAAACCAAATTTCAACTCGAAGAAGAATATTGTTTAATTTTTCGTACGCTCGTGCAATGCAATAAACGGCTTAATCTTAGATCCCGACCCAACGATCGGTAGCTAACTAGACCAAAGGGCACGTCTTCGCTAAGAAGCAATATCAGATCCGGTCTTTTGTGATACTGTTCATGTGCATTGTTTAATTGGAATTCTTTGCGACGACTCGGAGGCGCCCAATTGGTCGACAAACTCAAAAGACTTATTACTACATTCCTATCCGAGTTTTTGTATCGGCCATGTATTTTTCATCCGGAGTGGATATCAAATAAATAGCTTGTTTTTGTTGTGTTCAACACAGACAGTTGTGTGCTCAAGAGATTTAATCAGAAACCAATGTGCAGTTTATTGGCTCTTGTCGACCGATACATTATTATTGTTGTTGTTATTGTAGTTTCGCTAACTAGTATTTTTACGGACTAGAAGATAGAATTTATGTCCGTTCATCCGGATCGTTTATTTGCAATAGCATAAGACTTTTTCATCACTTTGTCGTAACTCAACAATGGAAAACAATATTGGAAACTAGACAATCGAAAAGTGAGATTGCTTCGATCACAAACCGTATGCCCGTTCCGGACTTGCCGTCCGGACAAAGTATTTGAACATCTTTACTGATAACTTGGCAGTTAACAATCGCAAGGCTGTTTTCGTAAATTTTACATCATTGTGTACACTGAAATCTGATCAAAAACCGAATACCATCAGCCTTAGGTATATCTAATAAATCCGTCCAGAGTAAAACAAGAACGTCTGATGTATTCAAAAACATTTTAATACGCGTACGCCAAATGTTATCCTTATTATAATAACAAGTAATCCTAGAATCATTTATCTGTTAAATTTATAATAAAGGCTATATAAAAAAAAAAAAATTATAATAACAATATATTAAATAACATGTCGCATCCATTCGACGTGGTAGCAAATTTATATGCTTGTGTATTTAATTTACATATCATTTGAATAATATTTCAGAAATGCGCATAAATTAAATTTAACCAATCTCCGATTCGCTATATTAAACGAGTTTATTATTTACCTAATTGTTTTACACGCATTACTTGTTTATTTTTGTTTGGTTGGCAAAACACTTATAGTTATTTAAATTTTAAATGTGCTTCTGTTGTTTGAAATGACATAAACACGAATCAATTATTTATGAAAAGGGTTTTGCCGAAAACTTAAACTTACACACAGTTTTACTTGGAAAATATTACAACAAATATTTATAATTCTTATGCACTATACTTAGTAATACAAAGTAATTTTTAACAAAATTTTGACCTATCACTTTTCATAAATAAACGATTCACGATAACGATTCACAATTCAAATAACGATTTTATCTCATTAACAAATTCTCAGTATAAACGTAATTAATGTATTGTAAAATTTTTGTTGGAAAAATTAAATTTTTTCAAAATATAAATAAAGGATTATTTAATTATCAAATCCATGCCATACTGTCAGACTGCAATGTCCCATAAAATTCACGAACCACTTAATTTGACCTAAGTTAGATGAACCCTATAAAGATCAAACGACCGGACTTATTTTTAATTTAACGTTATCACGGTCTAGTGTCTTGTTATTGAGATTAGAACTGAACAAAACATAGTTTTACCCAAAAGACCTTTTTGTGTAAAGAACATAAAAACACCACAACGGCCAAGCGATTGTTTTCGCAGACAAACATTTCGTTGAACCTGCGCTTCATAAATCCTCAGCTTTCATCCTTTTTCACGGCTATACCTAATACTAAGCCTTTAAAATATATATATGAAGCGTTACAAAACAAAAAACTTAATATATGAATACAATTATTATGGCAGAAAAATATTTTTTAAAAAGAACATTCTGTTGCCAGCATTATGTAACAAGTCTTTAAAGAATTATTTCCTTTTTTTGTGGCGTGAAAACCCCGGACAAACATATACATTTCATATTTTTATTTATTTTTAAATAACTACTCATTTTTAGAAAACCACAGAAAAAAAATTAAGTAGGTGTATTTTAAAAAAAAATATTATTTATAACGATAAATGTCAATAAACCTTCATTTTTGTAAGCTAAAACATATTTGTAATACACTAGGATATAAATAAAATAAATTTTTTTTTTAACGGAATCCACATCTTGACTGTACTAAGAAACTAAAACTAACCATTAATGCTGTCTAAGAACAATGTTCGAGCAAACGAAAATAATTTTTGAGTTCTATGCCTATTTAAAAACGAGAAGTCAACAACAACAATAAGACACATGAGATATTTATTGAAAATACTGAATATCATATTCTTTCCAATCCAAGCGAAACTCAATACTCGCTGAGAAATCGGTTAGTGCATATTTAAAGAAATATATTGCAAACAGAACTACTTACTAGTGAAATACGAGAAAAGCGTAAATATGCAAAATGTTCAGCGTCATTAAACGTATAGATTCATCAAGTTCATACCTAACAAGTCAATTCGAAAACATTCCAAGGTAATATAATATGTGTTTACCCGAAATGGAGTTAGAAAGATAAATGGTTTATCCTCGGTTCCGTTTGACTGGCGAAGAAACCTTAATGGCTTTTGGCGTTGTCAATAATTTAGTTAAAATTCAAGAATACTCAAATCAGTTTAAAGGCTGTATAATTTATGTATTTCAGAGACGGCGAAGAAAATCGGATTTGATGTCTAGAAAACTTTTTAGGATTACCAATTTCGTCTTCCTTGAACGAATAATTTTAAACTCTATTGAGTTTCAACAAGTCAACACTTTTACCGAACAAATTGAATGGTTCAAGAAAACCAAATTACTATAAGCAAACGTCATTATCCATATGCTATAATATTATTACTAATTCAAACTTTCATCCCCAACTCGATGATGCCATAGCGTTTGGTTTATACGGTTAAATAACCAAAACAAGTCTAAGCGTTAGAATTTATTTATATGTTAATATTTCAAAACACGTGGGGCTTAAATCGTTAACCTGACTTATTGATAACTGCCTGACTTCTACATTTCTATCATGCTATTCTGACTTTTGTCGATTCGTGCAGTAATGTTTAGCAAACATAATGTAACAAGAAAAACTTACATGACGTATATCTGAAAGTGCCAACAGATAAAAAAACAACTCGGTTTTTAAGTATCTTAATGAGTATTAAATGGTTAAAAATCAACATTTATTTTACTGACTTTTAGTTAAAACGAAAACAAATGAATTATCCACCAATCGCTATAGTGTTCGTTCTTCTCAGAATTCATATCGAAAAGTTTCTCATTCGGTGTTGTTCGGCCGAGTTTTCCCCTTTGTTTTTCTCATCGGTAGGTACTACTCGGATTTTCACTTTAAATTTTAATTTTCAATTAAACGTATTGTATAATGAAGTCGCAAACTTTAATTAAATCACTTAGCGGATTTATTAACAACTCAACCGGCAAAAGTTGGAGAGCACCTAAAAGTTTTCAATTGAGTTTCAACGAAACGTCGTGCGCGGTGCTGTTTCTGTTCCAAATAAAGACCACCCAGGGTAATCAGTTTTTACCGTGAAAAATCAAACGGAACCGCGAAATCCGAATTCGCCAAAGTAATCGCTTCGCCGAGTTGAGAGTTTAAGTGCTATCCAGAGACCGTCAAACGGAGTTGCTTAAGTAACACCTACAACCGCCTCTGGTATGTGTCTCTGCTCATGTGCACCATTCGTCGGAACTCGGAACGACAAAACCGAGACACAATTATTTCAACAAATTGCATTGTATGCGCACATTACAGGCGTAACAACACAATGGCAAAGCACACGAGCGCGTACATCCGTCCAATCGACTGAGTTTTGACGATTACACACTACCTACTCGCGTTACAGATTGTCAAAATTCAAAGACGGGCTTTTGTCTTGTTGCTTTGAAGTTTCGCGAAGCCCTCACAAATAGCTGCCGGCGTAACCGTGTGGTGGTGAACGGCAAATTAGTCTTTAACGCTGAACGCCAACAACAATAACAGCTATGGCGTAGTTTGCCAAACTTGATATTGTATAACATTGTAATTTATTAGCGGCGTACGATACAATAATTATTACCTATTATTATTTCGACGATGTACGGCTACCGCGACACAATAGAGACATAATTATTCTCGAACACCACACCACCACCCCACCCCCTTTCCCCTACCTCGAAGAATATCTTTTTACAACAAAGCACGCTGTAAATCACTACATGATATGGATTGCTTTTATTATTATAACGTGCGCGGTAAAAAACACTGATCGTGCCAACAACTGAAATTTAGAAATTCTCCGCCAAAATCGTTTCATAAGGGGATTGCATGCGGTTGGATTTTAAGGAGTTTTGTGTAGACAATAGTTAAGAAAAAAGTGGCTTTAATTTTATTCGATCATGTCAATTAATTTACCGGTTAATTTGAATAGGCTTCATGGTATTCATTTTAATTATTTTGTCTGTGAGTAAAAACCATTTTAGTTAATATAACATAAATTTTTTGTTCCATCGCACAGGCTGAACCAGTGATCCGATAAGTAATCTGAAAACAGATTTGAATTT